ACTAGCCGCAGACATCTGCAAAGAGGAGGGGCTGGAGAGCCCTCTGTCATCATGGCACTGGGAACCACAGTTGGGTTTTTTGTTTGTTTTTAAGCCATAGGGATATGCAATAGGGATACGTTTTCTTTTCCAGTCATTAATAACAAGGGTGTGATGTTAGAGGAAAAGCTCTGGCTAGCTGAAACCCTATCAAAGGGAGGAAACATCTAGGTGGTACAAAGGGTTTGGAGGGACACAATGGTGCCATTGCTCCTTGGGTCTAAAGAGCTGTTTTCTCAGAGACGGGCAAAGCAACTCGACTTCTCAGGGAGCTTACTTCTGGAGAAAATGCCTAGCACTGTAGTTGTCTTTCTTATCTTCTTTCGTCCTCTCATTTAAGTGTGGAGCGTTCCGAGTGGGGACGAGCCTGCAGCCACTACGGGCCTCCTGCGTGTCCTCGCAGCTGTGCGAAGGACAGGCCCTTTACAGCTCGTGTCTCAGACTCGGCGGTTCCTCCTGCCTAAAACACTTCCCAGAAAATGCGTTGTCATTCTCCTTGCTTAATTTGCTGAACGTGATACCGTGCAAGAATTTGGAACTAAAATGCTTTATGGCTCGGAAGCTTTTGTGCCCGTTACTGGCATAGAGGAGTCTAGAGTGCCCTTTAGATTTCTGCTGTTTCTGTGGTCTGTTGTTGTGTTGCTGCTATTTAGAGGTTGTAGCAATCTTTCAGTTAAAGGAGGTTTCCGATTTGGAATGCTTGACTGCTACCGCCGTTTTGCAAGTGAAATTAGCGTTAATGCCTGTAACAGGGCTGAGTAACCTCCCTGGTTTGTTGGGGACCAAGGAGGTTTCAGGGTGTGGGACTTTTTGTTTGAAAATGGCTTAGGCTGTGGTAAACAGGGAGATGTTAACCAGCTTATTAATGTTAAGCGATATACTTAATTCTCTCAAAGAACTTAGGAAGCAGCATTATTTCCCTTTTTTTTTTTTTTTTTTGACAGGCAGAGTTAGACAGTGAGAGAGAGAGACAGAGAGAAAGGTCTTCCTTCCATTAGTTCACCCCCCAAATAGCCACTATGGTCACTGCGCTGTACCAATCTGAAGCCAGGAGCCAGGCGCTTCCTCCTGGTCTTCCATGCGGGTGCAGGGCCCAAGCACTTGGGCCATCCTCCACTGCCTTCCCGGGTCACAGCAGAGAGCTGGACTGGAAGAGGGGCAATTGGGACAGAATCTGGTACCCCAACCAAGACTAGAACCTGGGGTGCCGGCGCCGCAGGCGGAGGATTAGCCAAGTGAGCTGCGGTGCTGGCCTCCCATTTTTCAAGTAAGGGAATTGAAACTGAGAGATGAAGCAGTAAGTGTTATTATAGCCAATGGTGGCAAAGCCTTGTAATACATCCAGGTCTCTCTGGCCCCAGAGTTTGTGCTCTGAACATTTCCTTTTTGCAGGCTTGTGATAGACAAATTGAAGGACTTGCCCCCTTTGGAGTAGGCATTTAGCCTAGTGGTTAGGATGCCTGTATCCCATATCAGAGTGCCTGGGTTCAATTCTTGCCTTGGGCTCCTGAAATGCAGATCCCAGGAGTCGGTGGGTTCTTAACACCCACATGAGGGACATGGATTGAGTTTTCATCTCCTGGCTTTACCTGGGCCCAGCCTCAGCTGCTTTGAGTACTTGAGGAGTGAACCCCGACTCTCCCTCTCTCTCTCTTTCTCCCTCAAATAAGTAAATGAAATAAAAAGAAATTGCCCCACTGTAAGTACAATTACAATCCCTTATTTTGAGGCTGTTCTAAGGATGACTTTTTTATAGCCTTTGACTCTTTATGTAGGTTTGGAAATTAAGAATTATCCAACTACTAAACTTTTGCTTAGATTTTCAAGCATGGAAATGCAGGCAAGAATAGAGAGCAAAGCATTTTCCATGGATAGCCTTCAATAACCTTTTGTGAAATCTTGCCAATAATCTCTTCCAAAGGAAAACACTTTTGGAGTTCAGAAAGTTTACATTTCCATTCTGTAAGGCTCTCTCACTTCCCACCAGTTTGAAAGGAATGCTGCCGTCAACTTGGCTCATTTCAAATACTGCCTCTATGTCTCTATTCCATGTCCCAGTTTCCACAGAGTTTGTGTAACAATACCTGAATGGGAGGTCAGACAGAATTGGCTTCGGCATCACCACACATTTCTTTTTGCCTTCTTTTTCTTCACAATGCTGTGTGTGTGTGTGTGTGTGTGTGTGTGTGTGTGAGATCAGCAGGCAGGAGGAAGCCCAGTGTGGAGTGAGAAGATGAAGGAAGTAGTCCTGGGAAGAATCACTTTAAAGGACTTTACAGGAGGAGCTGCAGATGAATACCTACAGCTATCTAGTTTGAAGGTTGTTTTGTGACTTTGAGTTCTCCGCTTTGGGGATAAAATAAGCCCACACAAGTTCCTGCTAGCTCTGGTTCCGGTTCAGGCTCTGAAAACCCAACTGTACAACTAAACCCTAAACACTACTGACTATTGGTTCATAGAGTAAGAGTATGTGGACAAACGCTGGGTGCTTGTTCATCCATTTAGTCAAACAAAGTTAAATGTAGGGCCTTCTATCTCTCAGAACTGTGCTGGGCAGTGGGAAAATAAAAGGAAACAACGAAATCCAATGTCATGAAATCAATGGATACAGGTAATCACATAGAAGTGACATTGTCCTTAAACTTCTCTCAAATCCACCATAAATATTACATCAGGTTCCCTAGAAGCAGGGCCTGAGATGATGTTTCTTGTGCAAGTAGTAGATTGACCCCTGCACAGTAGTGGGGGAGCCAGGGCAAGGCAGACCATCAAGCTAAGAAATACCCAAGGTCACCAGACAGGTGACCTCACAGAGGGCTGTGGAGCAAGAATGGCATCATAGATTTCAGCTCTATGAGGCAAAAGGGCCAACCTTTTATATCTCCAACAAGCAAGCATTGGCTATGAGCGTTCTCTAGCAGTGGTTCCAATCAGATGAGGCCAATTCTCAGAAGGGTGCTGCTGCAAATAGTCAGCAGGCAACACTCCCAGCAGCTGGGGTACAGATGCATAGCCATGTAAAGGCAAAGTGGAGAATGGCCATTGCCAGCAGCGGCTACAGTACTCAGCACTGAAGTGAAATGTTAGAAACCTACATATCACCTGTTGATAAATGTAACCAGTGGGGCAAGACTCCACCATTTCTTTGGAGGCATTACAGATAACACAGTTGGCTTGTGTTCAGGGCCATGTTGTATGAAAAGCATGCATCTGTCAGCACTGGACTCACACCCAGCACGATGAGATGCTCATACCCTGTGACAGACTCCCACAGGCTCTATGTTCTCCAGGAAGCACATCTTGAGATGTCACTACACAGAATGTTCATTAGGAAGCCCTTGAGGTCCACACACGTGGAAGGAAGAGGAGGAGGCAGGGGCGGACAGAGGGAGAAGTCGATCCACAATGTGGGATGAAAATGGCCTCTGCTGACTGCACCCCAGGGACAGCTTTGGAACCAAATGGCTCACTAGAGCAGGGCTTGCTTTGGGCCCAAATGGCCAGGTCTTTATACTCCTCCATTTACCCCGATATTGGGCCTCCTCTGGCACAGCCTTGAGAGAGGGGATTCTCTGCAGGTGAGGCCACCCCTGAAAGGGCTACGGGAAACTGTATTCCCTGTAAGTGGGTGTCAGGTCTTTCCTGGAGTGAAAAATGGATGGCACATAGCTGTTCCCATCTGCTTCTGGAGACAACTTGCAACAGCCCCAGTCCCAACAGGTTGAAGTTGTTTTCTCTTTGGGAGTAAGAGATAGGGCACTGGGAACATATTACTGAAGCACCTACATTTAGTTTGGAACTTCATATTAATTCTGGACTTTTGTCATTGGTCTATCTTTACTTTGAACTTGTACTTAAACTTTTAATTTATTTTATTTATTGAAAAGACAGAGAGAGAGAGAGAGAGAGAGAGAGAGAGAAAAGGGATGGGGGGATCCAAATGCCCACAACACCCAGGGCTCGGCTAGTCTAAAACTGGAAGCTGGTAACTCAAGCCAGGTCTCCTGTGTGCATGTCAAAGGCCTGAGTACTTGAGCCAAGCCTGCTGCCTTCCAGTGTGAGCATTAGCAGGAAGCTAGAGAGGAGCCAGAACTCAAACCCAGGCACTCTGATGTGGGAACCAGGTATTCCAAGCAATGTCTTTTTTTTTTTTTAAGGGAAAGAGTTTATTGGGGGAAACTCAACAGACCGGAGGGAAGGAGCAAAGAAGGAAAAGAGGGAAAAGGAGAGCATAAGAGAAAGAGAGACAGAGACAGAGACAGACACAGGTCATGAGACGGAGAGGAAGAGAGAGAGACACATGTGTTCAGGAACAGGTCCTTTTAAAACTTTGCCGAGGGGCGGGCAGGGAAGTAGGAACAGCGAACCCTATTAGGATGGGGCGGGGGGGCTGACACTGCCACCTGCCAAGCAATGTCTTAACTAATGTGTCAAACTTCTACCCAGTGTGCTTTTAAAGATTGTTTTATCTTATATTTATTTAGTGACAAACATCATGCTAAGTGTCTTATATTCATTACCTTATTTAATGCTTATAACAACCTTTATCAGGTAGATGATATCGTATTCCCCACTTTACAGGTGAGAAAACTAAAGGTTAGAGAGGCTAGGAAAAACTTGCTGATTGAGAAATCATATGCTCAGTCTTTGAACCAACGTCTCCCTAACTCCAAAGCTCAAACCCTTACCCACTCTACTGAAGCCCACTGTGAAAGTTTTCACATTACCCTTTGATAGACCTTCGCTAATTCAACCTTCAATACCCAGCATGTCTTCTGCCAGCCTCTGCTAGTTGCGACTGGAGATCCAGCAGGACACCTCTGGCTGTGCTGCCATGCATGCATTCTGTGGGTCGCCCTTCCGGCTGCCTGTGTGTGTAACAAGCTCAGGAGATAAATGCAAGTGCAAGAGCCTTGGATGTTTCCAATGAACTCAATTTGCTGTTTTAAACTTTTTAACAGGCTAAGCGAGACGCTAAGAGAATGTCTGCAAAAGAAGTCACCATCAACGTTACAGACAGCATCCGACAGGTGGACAGAAGTAAAAGAATCACAAAGAACTGCGTCAACTAGCCGAGTGTCCAAACACAAGGGCAGGTGGACTTCTTCGGTGACTTCATGATATTGATTCCTGTCGGTGAAAGTTGAAAAAGTGGGGACCACTTACTGACCATGAACGCTGCTGAGTGCCTTGTGGGACTGTCTTACCCCACAGCAAATGCCTGCCTGAGCTGTTGGGTCCTCTGAGCCTCTTGTTTAGCACGTGAATGCATTAACAGTCCTCACCTTTGTGAATAACCTGCAAATGTGCCCTTCAGTTTGCCTCTTTGCATCTCCTGGAGTAGGGAGTGGGGGTACAGTGGTGAGCTGGAGCCACAGGTCAGTTTGTGAAAGAGGAAAATAAGAGTAGATTTCCTGGGTGAAAAAGTTGCACATCAGTGCCAAGCTCTTCTGAGCACAGTAGTGTGAATTTCAGGCAAGCTTACCCTTTCATTCTTTATTTTTAAACATCACCATCACAAAGCGTACTGTGTTCGCCTAAAAGCTGGCTTTCCTCCAACTGTAAACCCAGATCGATGTGAAATCAGGAAACAGGAAAAGTCCCGGTTATTCTCATTTCCTTAGCTCACAATCAGACCAGATCCTGTTTCACACACACTAACTCCAGCAGGCAAGGCCCATGGCGTGTCCTTGGGAAGTCTGTGTGATGCTGTCACACCTGCTCCTCCCCTGCCTCCAAACCACAGGATCAGTCTGTGGCGTCATGTCATATAAAGTGGCCATGCATCCAGCCTGGGACACCACTCAGGGCTCAGGCAGACACTGCGTATTTCATAGCTTTCTGGTTCCCTTTGCTTGTCTTAGTAGTTTTCTCTCTCCAGTTGAGTCACTCACTACGGTTAATTGAAAACTAGACACTGCTCACAGGAGAGAGATAGTCTAGGGACCTGTGGCAGCACATGGAGCTTTCTCTGTCCACAGCCCCAGGACTGGGTCATTTTGGCATCTGTAAAGGAACTACTTTAGAAAGACAGCACCTGCTGGATGTGTATTCACATTGATATTAGACTAATGTGCACTGTGTTACAGATCAGGTAGTTGACACAGTAAAATGATGTTCTGATAGAAAAAGTTTTTCTAGCATTTCCTTAAACATGTTCAGCTGGAAGTATTTTCTTCCAAAATAACGTAGCATGATTTTTAAAGAACTGCTAACAAGTCTGGGATTGGGAAAAGTAGGACTAAAGTTGTACCAAACTATACCAATAAACTCCATGTTTAGCAGAAATAGGCAGCTTGATGGTATGTGTTTATGTAACATAGTCCCGAGAACTGACCTACGAGGTTAAAATTCAGTTACTCAGTGGCGCACCTACTAACTCTGGTATTCCTCAGACACCAGAGGATAATGTCTTCCTTTCTTGTTTCCCTCCCTCCCTCCCTTCCTCCTTTTCTTCCTCCTGCTGATAGATTTTATACTTATTCATTAAACATTAAGTGCCCACTTTATGCCAGTTACTGTGCAGATGTTGAGAGATGTGGGGTCAGGCCTCTTGCGACCTTATATCCAGAATCTACCAGTAGGCCTAACAAGTAGGACTGACTTAGCGACACTAAGGTGTAGTGTGTGTTGTGAATTACTCTGCAATGGAGTCTTGCTTTTATAGTAGGGTTGATGTGTGTCCTAAATGACAGATCTGGGTGTTCTCATCATCATTGTACAAGCCTTTACCATACACAAAACTACAAGTTTTCCTAAACCTCTCTCATTTTGATTCCTTGAAAAAGGGCTTTTAAGGACTTCACATTCTGAAAAAAAATTTTAACTTTTATTATTTTAAAGCAAAACCTGTGACTCATATGTCCCTAGTGGCATTACTCAGCAGGAGTCCCCAACTCTAAAGGTTGGCAATGATCCTGCAAGTTCAAGGGCTTGTTCTCCCAGGGCATGTGTGTTTTGCTTTGTGTAAGGCGTTCTTTCACCAGTCGCTGTGCTGTGAGCCATGGGCTAAGCCTAGTTTCTCTTTCCACTCTGTTTTTGCCTCAGTTCACTGCTACAGGTTATTTGGAATTCAGCAGCTTGAGAAGGTGGCTCTGTTTATCCAGAAACACTTTTTCGCCTCTAGGGGAGAAGGGAATGAAGGACATGTGATCTGGCCCTCCCCAGAACCATCTGGGTCTCTCTGAGACAGTGACCAGAAGCTAAATCAAGTTACTGGAAATTCATCTGGCAGCTTCTCCGTGTGTATATGAGACAGGCATTGATTCTTGCTATCCCGTTGGGAAAACACTTTCCACTGCAAAGTTTGTGTCAATAAAGTCATTAATTTCAAACATATGGGTGGTTACAGAGAATCTTTACTGGAACCTTACATTTGTATGTAGACCTGTTTAGACTTTTTTTTTTAAGATTTATTTATTTGAAAGTTGGAGTTACACAGAGAGAGGAAAGACAGAGAGAGAGAGAGAGAGAGAGAGAGGTCTTCCATCCGCCGGTTCACTCCCCAATTGGCTGCAACAGCCAGAGCTGTGCCCATCCGAAGCCAGGAGCCAGAAGCTTTCTCTGGGTCTTCCATGTGGTACAGGGGCCCAAGGACTTGGGCCATCCTCCACTGCTTTCCCAGGCCATAGCAGAAAGCTGGATTGGAAGTGGAGCAGCTGGGACTTGAACCAACGCCCATATGGGATGCCAGCACTGCAGCCGGGGCTTTACCTGCTATGCCACAGTGCCGGTCGCTTTCTTTTTATTTATTTATTTAGTTTTTAAACAAAAACTTTTTATGTAAGTGATCCCCGTGAATCCACCAAAAAGCCTGTGAAGTAGGTAAGGACGTGCTCTGCCGTTCCTGGCTCTACCGGCCAGACTAATTTACAGTTATAAAAGTATTTATTATGGTCCACTCAACTGGTGAGTGACGCTGCAGGAATTTCAAGTCTGCTTCCAAGTCCGGTGCTTTTTTCATCATAGCATCGTGCCTCCACAGCAAGACAATCCAGCACAGATGGGAAGTTCAGCCACTTAGAAGGGAATCGTCACCAAGCCTGAGACTGGGCCGAGCCCAAGCCCAAGATAGTGACTTACTGGGTCTGACTCAGGATTGCTTGTCGCTCCAGAGGGTGACCCTGAGGTGGTGTGAGAGGACACCTTTGGTGAAAGTCAGTTCAGAGGAGATGGAATAACTGCTCACACCTAGACATAAGGGATGCCATGGACCTCCCCTGTTACTGCCAGGGCCACTCCGTAAATGCACAGATGAAGGACTACACTGCCTCACCCACTGCCCACCTTCCCCCACCCTCTCCACATCCTGCCCCCCTCCCCAGGCCACCTGAACACATTCCTGTTTGTGTGCTTCATCTAAGCCCTGCTGACCTTTGTTTATGAGTTGCTGACTGCCCCACTTGTCATAGAAATGCACCCCGTGCATATCTGCCCCTCTGAGCAGGGTTCCCCAAACTGAAGCTCCTCTGCTGAATCCAGATGATAGGCACACTTTGTTTGGCTGCTGTAGGATGAAAGCTTGGGAGCTTCACATGAAAATCCAGTTCTGGCAGAAAGCCTCTCATTTAGAACTTGGCTTCTTCTCGAGCTAGGCACGTGTCCACTAGAAATAAAAAGGATGCTTTCCAGCCTCCCGTGCAGCTAGGAGTAACTACAGGACTAAATTCTAGCAAAGAAATGAAATAGAAGTGGTGCATGGAAGCTTCCAGGAAGGCTCTTGATAGAAGAACAGTCGGGATCTTCCTTATTTTTCTCCTCGCTTCCCTGAATGAGGAGGCAGCGGCTGGAGCTGCATCGGTCCATTGGACCATGATGTGACTTGGAAATGGAAGCTGTATTAGTCAGCTTTCAGTAGTGCAACTAAAATACCTGAGCGGGGCTTCTTGGGAAGGAAAAGGTTTGTTTGGGCTTATAATTTGGAGGTTCAAAGTTCAAAATTAGGCAGCACCATTAGTCCGGCTGGTAGAGCCAGGGACGGCAGAGCACGTGCAGAAGAATGATCACATGGAAATCTCGGAAGCAGAGAGACATAAGAGCACCCAGCGTAAATAACCAGCTTTCTGAGGGCAAGCACCAGGCCCACTGACCAGATGCCATGATTAGATCAAGACTCCACCCTGATTTCAGCAGCTGTTAACATCGGACTTCAGGATTTAAACCTCTGCAAGAGTTTTGGGGAGCCAAGTCCTGTTCAATTCATAATAGACATCATGCCAGTTAAGCAACAAATTAGGAGCCTGTGTCCCGAATTCCACCGAGTCTCTGGGAACCCTAGAGTCTACACCCCAGACCACTTTTGGTAATCCCACTTGATTTAATATGTTTCAGTTGTAATAGTCAAACCCAAATGTAACTGACATACAAACTTTGCATTTTCTTTTGAGATGATTTCTAAACCTTCTGCCTGCACGGCTACTTGGCCATAGTCAGCTGAAGCCAGTAAGTCTGTTTTAGCTGGAGCTGAGGTCTCCACGTTGTGACAGTCCCTGCCATTCATTGTAGCTTACACGTGGTCATTACCTCAATTTTGTTACCTGCCCAAGCCTGCGACATTTGAGTTTGCAACCCCTGCTCCCAATTGTGTGTCCAAATATGTTGGGTTTTTTTTTAAAAATATGTATTTATTTGAGAGACAGAGTTATAGACAGAGAGAGGGAGAGACAGAGAGAAAGGTCTTCTATCCACTGGTTCACCCTCTCCCCCAAAATGGCCAGAGCTGGACAGATCCAAAGTCAGGAGCAAGGGCCTTCTTCCAGGTCTCCCATTTGGGTGCATGGGCCCAAGGACTTGAGCTATCTTCTACTGCTTTCTTAGGCCATTAGCAGGGAGCTGGATCAGAAGTGGAGCAGCCAGGACTCGAATGGGTGTCCATCTGGGATGCTGGCACCACATGCAGAGGCTTAGCCCACTACACCACAGTGCTAGTCCCCCCAAATATGTTTTTGTTTTCATTTTCTTTTTAGGGATCATCAAAATAGAGTGTCCTTTCACTCCATCCCACCTATCTTGGAAGTAGTCAATCTCAGGAGAATTTTCTGAGTAGGCAAATTACAAACATGACTACTATTTAAAAATATGCATTCATCTGCCCTTTCATATCTTTCATTTATTCTAAACATATTTACTGAGAAGTTTCAATGTCCCAGGAATTGGCAATGAATCAGAATTTGCCATGCCTTTGTAGAACTAGTGATCTAGTGGGAGAAACAACATAAATAAATAAATCACATCGACTTAAGGTGGTGATAAATGCTGAAAAGGATGTTAACAGGAGAATGAACTGGAGGGAGACAAGTACAGAAGCAGGAGGCCACTTAGGAGTCTACAGCTCTTGCCCAGAGGAGAGATGCCAATGGCAAGGAATAGTGTGGGAAGTGCAGAGATGAGTAGAAGTGGGTGGCTGGTGAGCACATTTTGGAAATAGAAACTAGGGTGTGCAGATGGTTTGGGTGTTAGAAGTAAAGAGAATGGAAATCAGGAGGAGTCTTAAGTTGTTTGGGCAACAGAGTTCTTGGGGATATAGGGTAAGACACAGTGGGAAAAGTTGAGGGGAGGGCACTGCAAACCAAGAGAAAATTTTGGACCCATTAAGCATGAAATATCCATGTGGAAGCGTCCTATAGGCAGCTGTATGTATGGGTCCAAATTTCAAGGTAGCAGTCAGACAGAGATATGAATTTGGAACTCATCAACACATAGAAGATATTCAATGACACAGAATTAGTTTACTTGATAAGAAGTTGGAGAGGAGGGTCCAAGTCTCTGCCCTGGTATACGCCACTGTTCAGAGAAGTAGTGATGGAGGAAGGGTCAGCAAAAAATAGAAGTGGTGAGGAAGCCAGGAAGAAGACTGAGAACTCACTTATCAATGCCAAGATTTTTTAAAAAGTTTCAGGAAGCAGAAACGGTCACTCATGACCGCAATGTAGTGAGAAGAGAGATGTGACTTCAATTGGCTCCATCAAGGTTACTGGTGTCCTTGATGAGAACAACCCAGTGGAAGGGTGGTCACCGAGGCCAGTTTGATGAATGGAGGAGTGAAGAGGATGTGGAGAGAAGGGAACAACTTTCTTTTGAAAAACTTTGCTATGAAGCAAAGCAAAGAGACAAGTAGTTGGAGAAGTTGTAAAAAGTGGAGCATCTTGGAAAGTGTGCCTCAACTTTTCTACGGAGGGGTTTGAGGTTGGTGCTGGAAGGGTGAGAGAACAATCTACAGAGCAAAGGCGACCATGAGAAGGTGAGATCATCAGCACCACATTAAAATTTAAATCCCGTCTATGAAAAAGTTCACATCCAAAGTGATAGTTTATGAGAGGACATCTACAACACAGTTATCAAAGAGGTGGTATAGGGACCCACATTTAAAAAGCAATGAGAATTTAACAGGAAAAAGACAACCCAAGGGGAAAGAATATTAACAGGAGAAAATTTAATGGTCAACATAAATATCAAAAGATCCTCAGTCTCATAAGTAATTAAGCAAAAGCAAATTAAAACAGAAATGCCACTTTTTTACCTGTTTGCTTAGCAGAATTTTTTTTTAATTGTTTAAAAGGCAGAGAGACAAAGATAGATATTTCACCTGTTAGTTCACTCCCCAGATGCCTGCAACAGCCAGGTTGAAGCCAAGAGCTGGGAACTCATTCTGGATCTTCCATGTAGGTAGCAAGGATTCTGGACCGTGAGTCACTGGGGCACTGCCTTGGGAAGGGAATTTTGGTCTCCTAGAGTAGCTTTCAAAAAGCAAGTCGTTATAAAAGCCTGAGCTTCACCCCTGACTCTCTCTGGCTTCCTGTTTGATGCTGTTATCTCCTACTTTGATTATATGCTCCCTCCAGGATGTGACATAGCCAAGAGGGTACTCAACAGAGTTGAGTTGATGCCAGCATCATGCTCTTGAACCTACAAAACTGTGAGCGAAATAAACCCTTTTCTAGAATAGCCTGCCTGTGGTATTTCATTATAGCAATGGAAGATAGATCACAATACCTAGATGTAAGAAGTCACTTGGAAAGGAGGCCCCCAAATACCTTGGCAGAAGTTACAGACGACATGTTTTCAGGGACAGACAGATGACATAAATGAATGTCGTAGACCCATGGGAGTTATGGGACTGGGTGAGAGAAGAAAAACATATGCCACACTGAAAGGGAAAAAAACTTGATAGGACAACTGCCCCAAGATTTTGCAACCTACACTGTAGGTTCACAATGAGACTTGTGCAAGGAACATTTCCAGATTCCTGACAATGATGTTTGATAAACTGCTTATAACTGATTTTTCCAAAATGCTTTGCCATTTGGCTTTGTCCCCCACCCCACCCCCCGCCCTGGAAC